TTTCACTTAACAACTGTGGCAAAAAAGGTCACCACAACAACTGTCTCGCTTAGCAACCAAATTTTGGGCTCTGTTGTGGTTGTAAATCAATGGTTCCGACAGATGAAACTCTTCAAAGAACTTTGAGGCATTGTTTACCTTAAAGAATTTTTATTCAAGCAGCATAGCTTCGGCACGTACATAGTCGAAGCCAAAATCTGACTTCCCCTCCCTTCAGCACATAGATAAAAGCACAATTCCCTCCTACAACTAACAGTCATAGATCACATTCTCCAATTAGTTTGAAATGCAGGCTTTCCGCCCAGTTTTTTATCCCGCCATGCCTTATCATCTCTTATTACAATATTGTATGTCTAACTGAGTCCCATCACATTCCTCCCCCTCCCCCCAGTATCATTTAATTCTAAGAGTAAAGCATAATAATGAAAAAGGCTGCATCTCCATATGTTGCCAAAGCAAGAACATCCAATGTTAGCAGCATTGAGATCTTACCTGTAATAGGCAAGGGGCAATGGCCCTGTTTACTTTGTGTTCGTTCAGTATCCTGATAACAGTTGAATACGGGAGTGCCAGCTAAACAGTAGAGGGAAGAGAGAAACTGCAAACACACAGGCACAAATTTATTCAATCAACACTGAGCACAATAAAAGAGTTGGACAGCAAAATTACATTACAATAATATAGCGCAATAAAACCTTTTTAACAATGTACGTAAAATTCCAGTGATATAGCTTGTAACATAACATACCCCGGGCCTGGCGCTTATTCTTCCTTTGCCACAGATGTCATTCAGTAGAATTTTATTTTAATAGCTGCAATACCAAATTTAACTCTATTATACGTAACATTAGGCTTCTTTTCCGATAACAGAAAAGCAGGATAAAAAACTGACCTGGTTGTCCTAGCATCAATTCCAACAAGGGAAGGATGGGAGGTTGAGGGCTATCTTGAGAAACTCATTATATGGTGGCTTCAGGAAAACCAAAGATTTAGGGAGCCTTGAGGTAGTCTAAAAATATCATGGTTTTCTACTTGATTCCTCTCCAGAAGCCATCTTGAATGCAGAGCTGATCACTCTGTTCTCGTTGGGGAATCAAATCAGTGAAGTAAAGTTACAGAACTTTTTTTCTCACGAAGACTTGGCAAGTGGCACACTGTACCTTTAGGATCCTCTACTTAATCATCTTGAAAAGCTATTTCAAAGAGGCAGATATAAACGTGGGTAACCTCTAGCTTGTTGTTGCCCTTTTTTTATGACATAGTGCATCTGCACAAAACAACTCAGCTGGACAGTCAATTCATTCTTCCCCGCTTCGTTAATGACTCAAGTTAAACAGCTTAGCCACTTCCAAAGCTAATGAATTGTGCATGTATTTTAATTATACAACATCAGGTAGCAAACTGTGAACATGATGAGTCCAGGAAAGGTGACCTATTTGTTTTCTCCAAGGCTTCACTTAAACAATTCAACACAACAACACTTATAGCCTGTTGAGACATTCCCAAAACTAGTACCCATCTCNGCAGACATTCCTTGACATGTACAATGCTTGTTGTAAATCATAATATTTCTTCTGCGGGATTAACCTGGAGAAATCTGTCTGGTTTTACATATGCAGAATACAAGCAATTGCTGTGGATTTCAGCAAGTGATTTTACCTGCTCCGGACGTGTATTCAAAAGTATTGTTTGCATTTCTCAATGTGTGGATGAGAAATAATCCTAGCTGGTTTTTTCAAGCTTTTGGGGGTTTTTTTTGTTTTAAAATGGATGGAAAAGTGGTGTGGAATGAGGGACCATAGCCTTTTTTGATGCATTTAGAATATTTAGAATAGAATAGAGTTGGAAGGGACCTTGGAGGTCTTCTAGTCCAGCCCCTCGCTCAAGCAGGAGAACCTATACCATCTCAGACAAGTGACTGTCTAGCCTCTTCTTAAAGACCTCCAGTGATGGAGCACCCATGATTTCTGAAGGCAAGTTGTTCCACTGGTTGATTGTCCTCACTGTCAGGAAGTTTCTCCTTAATTCCAGGTTGCTTCTCTCCTTGATCAGTTTCCATCCGTTGCTTCTTGTCCTGCCCTCTGGTGCTTTGGAGAATAACATGACCCCCCTCTTCTTTGTGGCAGCCCCTCAAATACTGGAACACTGCTATCATGTCTTCCCTATTTCTTATTTTCTTTAGACTAGCCAAACCCAAGTCCTGCAGCCGTTCTTCGTATGTTTTAGTCTCCAGGCCTTGGGTCATCTTAGTTGGTCTTCTCTGAACTTTTTCCAAGGTCTCAACATCTTTTTTGTAGTATGATTCAGATTGTAGCATTGATTCAGATGAAGAGATTAGGTAACTGTTGGCTCTCTTCACCCATATATTGTGGCTGCATCTGAGATATTTTAAATATGTGTGTAAAACAAATGGGTGTGTCAGTTGTTCACACATTTAGAAGGGTGTATATTTTACAGGAGTTAAAAACCAGATAATAATAATAATAATAATGATAAAGTTGGAAGGGACCTTGGAGGTCATCTAGTCCAACCCTCTGCTCAGGCAGGAAACCCTATACCATTTTGGACAAATGGCTGTCCAGTCTCTTCTTAAAAACTTCCAGTGTTGGAGCAGTCACCGCTTCTGGAGGCAGGTTGTTCCACTGGTTAATTGTTCTCACTGTCAGGAAGTTTCTCCTTAGTTCTAGGTTGCTTCTCTCTTTGGTTAGTTTCCACCCGTTGCTTCTTGTCCTGCCTTCGGGCGCTTTGGAGAATAGCTTGACTCCCTCTTCTTTGGGGCAGCCCCTGAGATACTGGAACACTGCTATCATGTCCCCCCTCGTCCTTCTCTTCATTAAACTAGACATACCCAATTCCAGTATTACTCTGTTCCTACCTTTGGGTTGGCTCTGGAAATGATCAAATACATAACACATTTCTTTCCAAGTTTTAATTCAATATTTTACCCAGATATTTGTCAATATCCTTCAAGCTGTAAGCTTGCTGTTCAGCCTTAGAGTAATTAATGCTTGCATTATATGTTAATGTACAACAATATAATCCAGAGGAATGTAAAGACCAGTAAGAAAAGAAAGGCTTTGATTAAAATATTAAAATGCAGTGGGGAATTCTTGATTCACTTCTACTTAAGTGTCTCAGCTGCATATTAATTGTCCAGTAATTGTCATCTTATCGTCTGGAGTGTTTCCTTTAGTGTTGTGATAACTATGTTTACCATAGACATTGCTTTAAATATTTTAAAAAAATTGATAGGAAAATGATATCCTGTGCATATTAGACCATGTCTAAGATTACAGAAACCCCTGACAGAATTGGCTTGTTTCCAATTCTATCAAACTAGAGGAAATTCTTTTGAGTTGGTTTTTATTCCCTTTTTTTTCAGTGCTGTAGGTTTCAACATATGATATTGCTTTTTTGCTTGGCACTCAGAGAAACAATATGGAGGCTAAACACATTTTTTTGTGTAGTTAAAGGGAAAAACAAAGTCCTGAAGTACAGTAATAATTGTGTTCATGAAAGAAATTTCTGTTACTTATATGGTTTTCTGAAGTAATGGGCAGCTATTGCTGTGTCTGAATACATTTGGTTTTATAATAATGTTCTCCTAGATCCATGGGAAACATTAAGAGACATTTTAAAGAAGCTTTTAGGTGAACAGTTAAATATTGGGCTGTAGGGACACTGGCCAACTACTTAAAATAGCTTGCCATCCTATCTCACATTCTTCCACATATACCATATAAAATGTAGGAATATTTCCATGTGATATAGTATTCCCTGTAGGAAAATAGGTTGGTTAAAAGAGCTGAAGATCATGCAATAAGCTTTATTATGCATTATGAGGTCTTGGAGGATTCATGAAAGTTTAGTATATTGTTTAGTATATTGTGTTGGCCAACAACCAGTGGGATTCAGCCGGTTTGCACCAGTTTGGTAGAACCGGTAGCTAATTTTTTGTTGACTTCGGCGAACCAGTTGATGCCCTAGCCCTTTTTCACAAGGCCTAGAATGGACTGTCAGAAGTGCATGGATGCCACTTCCGGAAATCTGCTCTGAGCTGGGAAGGCCTCAGAATGGACTCCTTGAAGTGGCGTCCTTGCACTTCTGGTGGGCTGTTCTGGGCCTGGAAGGCCTTCCCGGCTCAGAACGGACATCTGGAAATGACGTCCACACAGAGAACCAGTTGTTCAGGTATTTGAATCCCACCACTGCCAACAACTCAATGTCCTATGTAACACAAAGCTCCTTAATAAAGCCAAAGGTTTTTCATCAAAATGAGAAGCACATGCTATTGACCCCATGAGCAAAGTGTTGACCATGTTTACATATTTTTTGAAAGAAACAATCTCTGTAATTCTCAATATTTCTGTTTAACGTTGTCATTATTCTTAATTCTACTATCCACAGAGAGCGAAGAGGTTTACCAGCGACAAGTGCTGTCTATTTCCTGCATTGTCTTTGGGATCGTCATTGTGGGCACAATCTCGGCAGCATTCTACTTCAGAACAAAGTAAGACTCCCTAACTCATCTCCACCTTTTCCTTCTAGTCTGCCAAGACATTGGTGTTTTCCACTCATTGTATAATTTATGTAGGCTCTTGTTCTGGAAAAAGACATACCAGAGACCTGTTTCATGCAGACTGTCTTTCTGAGATGATGCCCTGAAGTTAAAATACATGTAGTAGAACGACAATTATATGCTTAGGTCCGCGTCTGTGTTAAAGTGGATCAAATTTACACAATTTCATGCAGCAGGGTCTTTAGGATTTGAATTGTACCACCAAAATGTAGAGAAACAAGTGAATGTGTTGGTTAGTTTTTGGCAGTCCCATTTAGGTCAGATGGCTGTAAGAATATGTAAAAAGAAGTTGATCCTTACTTGCCTTAGTTCCTTATTTTATCATCTTTCAAAAATAGTTGTGCCTAAGCAATACTGAACGTTCTAGAGATAATAGAGGACGATAACAACGTGGTTGGAAGTATTCGTCTTGATTCGTGATAGAATAATTTATTGCAGGAATGGAAGTTTGTCACTTTCTGAATACAACTTGCTAAGTTACAACTTCCATCAGCCACGTTATCTGAATCTGATGGAGGTTTCCAACTCCTAGGAGTAGAGAGGCTGACTTTGTACTATGCCCAGTACAAAATGTAGCAGTGATTAAAAAAATAACCCATTACTCTCCTATGAATAATTCTTATATTATACTCAGGTATTTTATTTTTATATTATGGTTCATTGTGGTCAGCCAGATGTTTAAACTGGACTTGATACTCACCACCTATCGAATCCTTCCCAAAGATCTGAGATAGGCAGATGTTATTCTTCATTGGTGTTAAAGGCATGGTTGCAGGATGTAAGCTGTTCCAGTAAAACTGCCTCTTGCAATTGACGGATGGTGTTTTCGACAATGCCAAGGGTGTACAGATGGTACTCCAGTTGCGCTGGGATTGCACACAAGGCACCTATTACTATTGGTAATATTGGTGTCTTTGCTTTCTTTTGCCACAATTTATAGTATTATTAAAATAATCCATTGCACAGTTAGCCAGGCGTTCAGAGCACATTTTGGCGTTTTTATCCTCCTACTGAGTCTTACCCAAGGACCTGGGATAGACATATGTGGATGTTTGATGGGGTTAGAAGTATTATTATTATACTGTGTGTAGAGCGAAATGGATAAGATTGCAAATACCTGTGAATCTCGTGGCACCACAAGGCTTCGCTGGAGAGAGCTAAGACTTTCAATAAACAATTATCTCTTGTGAAATTGTTCTTGCTATCCGGAATTTTATGTCCTTTGCGAGAATAAAGTGCTTTGGCACTTTTATGCTACTTCCTCCCTATTTGTGTTTCATTTTCTTCCCTTTGTGGTTTCATTCCTGGAAGCAAAGAGAAATATTTGCTTTCTTCAAAAAAAAAAAAACCCCCCAAAAAACCCCAACATTCTTTAGGGGAAACTGAACAGGTCAATTATCCTAATGTACTGCAGAATATTAGTGAGAAAACTCACAGTACTGGGAGTTATTGTGAGTTGAGACCCGCCGGTTTCAGAGGAAGGGACTTTAAAACATTGTTTATTTGCCCATTATATTAAATTGGATTCAATCCAATGCCTCTTCCTTCCAGATATTTTTAAAATTTCATTTCATTTACTCTGTTTCCTTGTTCCACTTCACACTACTTCATCTGGCAAAGTCTCACAGTGGCTTGCAGTAATCTGTAAGAAAACCCACTGAAGCTGAGGGAGAAGAAAAGAAGGATATCAAAGCAGCAATAACAAATGGCAGGTGGATGTTTAATGCCTCATTTATCTTTGAAAATGGCTATTAGCCTTTCAGTTGCCCACTCTGGGGAAAAAAAAAAAAAGATGAGGCAACACATAGAGACCCGCCGTAATGATTTTTTTGTTAATTTGGTTTCCAAGATTTTTAACCTAACTCCTTCCAACTTAAAATTAAGCCTCATTAATGAAATTCAGGATGAATCTTGCTTTCATGATTAAGCTCTGCTGTTAAGGGTTGGGTATTAACCAACGATTAATCATTACCCACCGCCATCACATCCATTGTAAAAATGTACGGAGGAGAAAG